GCAAACCAATACAGATAATCGGGCTTGGAGCTGCCCAGGCTGCTTAACTCCTTCCTCCCCCCTCCCCCACCACTGCAGGGCTGAAACTGGGGGACTCAGTTGTAGCCTAGACCTGGGTGTATTCTACTCTGTCCATGGAGTGTGGCGTGTGCAGACATGGCCTGGCCCGGCCTGGCTGCGGGACAGTGAAGAGCCTGTGCTGACCGCCCAGGTGTGATCTCGTTTCTTCACAACCTAAACTTCGCCAGGTGATCTGCGCAGGTGTATTTAATTCCTAAGAGCCATGCCACTTGCTAGGGAGAGCACATTCCCGGCCATCAGCTCCCTTCGCTGGCAAGGACACAGGACAGGCACATCTCACCAGGATGGAATTGCAAAGCCATCCAGATAGCTTTATCAACCTAAGCTGGACCATGAGCTAGGAGCCAAGGCTGCCTGCCACTAATAACTCCATCTGTACTGTAGTTGTCCATGGTGAATCCCTCCTCAGGGGTAACACACATGAGGTTCCTTCCAGGCAGCCAACTGTAGCTTGTAATCCCACAGGCATAGGTCTTTCCTACTGTCATGACCTTGAGATGGGTAGAGGGGTCAGAAACCCTGAACAAGCCTCATGAGCTAAGCAAGCTGAGAAGTTCCATTATGCAGCCAGCAATGCAGGAAACCACTCACACAAGCTAGGGTAACAGAGGGGACAGTCTACAGGGCACTCTAGCCATTCTAGCTGTGACATTAGCCAGTCACATCCTAATGAAAGAGAGACCACTGTGTGAGAGGCATGAGCCTCCATCACTCTCATCTTCTCAATTTTGCTATATGTATTCTCTTTAGGGGGCTTCTTGGCCCAGGCTGTCTTAGAGAGTCACTCTGGCCTGTGGGATAACTGCTCCCATCAGTCCCCTACCACAACAGCCAGTGTGATGGCACCAGAGGCAAGATTGTTCCGAGTCATTTGTCCCATCAGCTCACACACTACGTGAGTGGGTTCCTTGAGGGAGGGTAATTACCGGACGGTGAGATGCTCCTTGGGGTGTGTTGCGTCCTCTGGAGACTGGCTCCTTTCACAATTATGTTCCCTACCAGGAATCTATTACATGATCTAGTTTTTCCTCCAAAGACATCATTAATCATAAGATGAAAATCTAAGTACAATTGAAAACACATGTTTGCTTAAGCACCCCCATCAGTGCTTAGCAGTCGGAGTGACCCCAAAAGCAATGGATACCTTCCTTCCCCAAATAACCTTCCTCCCAGCGTAACAACTTCACATTCTCCCACTCGGCCTGCTTTCTTTAAGAGGACAATGTATTTATAGTGTTATGGTCTTCAGAAGGCCCAGTGTGGCACCACGACATTCTGGGAGAAATTGTGGAAGGAAGTGGTTTCCATGGGGTCTACAGAGTGGTCCAGCATCTATCTGGATAATGGACGAGAACAGCTGGATCCCCTCCCTGGCTTTGCCTTTGGACAAACAGCCTCTGCTCCTGGGTTCCTGTCACCTTTACTGATCTATAAATCTGACAGGCTAGATGCTCTCAGAGCGCCTCACTCCTACAAATTGGGAGTCGTCCCTCCAGCATTGCTGTGGCAAGCCAGCTCCAGAGTTACAGTCTTCCCAGCACATCAGGGTGCATTTTAGAAGCTGACAACCAATCAGCTTGATATACAGAGAGAAAACTAATCAGGTGGCAGCATGTCAAAAGTGGCTTCTACCCTGAAGGTCACCTTGGAGCCACACGGAGTGGAAGGCAGATCCAAAATCACTACGATGGAGGAGAAATGAAAAGAGTAGCCAGGAAATGACCGCACAGCTCCAGTTACTGCTGGAACCTGTGAGGGTCACTAGCCATCAGAGGGACAAAACAGCAAAGGGCACACATGGGGGACAAGGGAAGCAGAATTTGTGGTCATCCAGGAGCAGAGGTGGGAGGAGAGGGAGTCATGCAGGGAAAGGGTAACGAACCCAGAGGTATGGCGAGCATGTCAGCCAGCCTGGTGCCTGGTCCTAGGTAAAATGTATACTTTATTGACTGCCTGCTACTGTGCCGGTTCCGAGTTGAGGACGGTATCAGGGTGTCTGCGGCTCACGCCATTCACAGCTGACAAGACAAATGCCTGGGCTTCCTTCCTGCAGTCTGATGGACTATTTCCAGAGCACCCCACCCTCCAGAAAGAACCCCATGTCCTTGGCTGCATGAAGATGACCCATATGGTTCAGAACTAGCAAGGCCTGGCTACCATGTTGGGCTTCACTGTGGTCTCAGGACTACCTCTCTCTACCCAAGAGTATGGCCAAGCCCCTTAACCAGTTTTGCCTTAGCTGTCCCTGTATTCAGTGAGGAGAAAGAGGCTACTTCTTTTCAGGTTTTACTTCATACTAGCATGGTAAAGCATATAGATTTTGAGTTGCAGGTCTAGCAACTAGGGGAGGACAGGGTACACTGTGGGGAGGGCACCTCAGAGATGCCACTGCAGAGAAGAAAAAGGAAAGCTGTGCAAGAAGTCGGCAAGCCACACCTCGCTGGCTGAGAAGCCAGCAACAGGGACACACCAGACTGAGCATATCTGTCATCCCCTCTGACTCATGGGCAAGTCCCGCAGGGCTTGAGTTCAACTCCTCCCATGCCTGAACCCACAGAGGTTACTACAGGGCAAATGGCCACCTGACTGATTATCCATGAAGGCACCGAGGATGGACACTTGTTGGCCGACTCTGATGGTGACTATGACCTGTTTACCTCAAAGGACATGAGGTGGACATAGCACCTGTAGGGCCCCCACTCCTGGGCCAAGATTTGTGTGTTGTGTTTCAACTCAAGATGCTCTGATGGCTCATGGAATGCCAGCTTGACAAGGTTAAGAACTGCCATGGCAACAAGTGTCTGGGCACTTCTGTGAGTAAGGATTACCTGGATTATTTAACGGAAGTGGGAGACCCACCCTAAAGGTGTTCCAAGGGCTGGGGACCTGGATTTCACAGAAAGGAAAAAGAGAGCCAAGCACCAGCATCCATCTCTCTCTGCTTCCTGACTGTGGATGCAACTGACCAGCTGCCTCAGGCTCCTGCTGCCATGACTTTTCTGCCACGAAGGGCTGTACCCTACACCTGTGAGCCCAAACAGACCCCTTCTTCCTTCCGGGCTTTCTGTCAGGTATTTTGTTACAACAAGTGAGAAAAGTGACATACACACACACACAAGGCTTCAAACATCCGAACCCACACGGCAAACCACCTTCACCTACAGCATGGGTTTTCAAGCCCTATCGCAACACCTCCTAGGACACACACAATACACGTGCAGAGAGCTCTGTGTGCTTCACGGGTCTGCCATGATTCCCACATTAACCAACAAGGCCCTCTTGGTACATTTTCCTGTAAAATCTGTATATCTCTACCTTGCCATTCTAGCAGGCTCCACAGAATGGACCTATGGCTAAGCTGGGTGCAATTTCCTTCTTAACAAGACAGGCTGACATCTGGGAATATGAGTGTCAGGCAGCAGTGCCCTACAAGCAGCCCTTGAGAGGGGATAGGGCCTGTTCCTGGTTGTGTAAACCCAGACATAATATAGTTTACAACCACCGAGCTCAGCGGTCCTGGGGATTGGCTTCTCAAGTTTCCAAAATTTTGTTTACCACTAAGACCAGATTCCCCCTGCACATAATCTCACAGGCTTAGCATCAAGAGGCAGAAAGACAAAACAAAGGGAAGAAAAGGGGAGAAGATGAAAACCACAAAAAGGCTCTAACTTAGTCCTCTTAAAAAGAAAGGTTGTGCCAATATTTAAGTTATAAGCCCTGCCCCCCCCCACCCCTAAACCGGTCTTCTGGTGGCACCTGGTTCACTTTGGATGTCCCAAGCTCCTTTCTCATTTCCACTTTGCACACAGTGATTCTGTAGACAGCAGGAAGTGCCTGGTCTGTTCCGCAGCTACTCACTCTACTTCCACAAACAGCAGACCAGACTAGAAACCGAGATCCACTCAGAAAGGCATGTGCATTCAAACCTTAGCAAGCCAAGAACTAGGGAAGGTGGCCAAGCAGCTGGGACTGTCAGTCCCAAGCCTCTAGGGCATATGACAGGGTCCCTCACCATATGGTGCTCCAGGGGCCTCCCGTGTTCCATCCTCCCATTTTAATGGACACAGCTCATTTTATGAAGGGCTGTTTTTTTTTTCTCTATAGGCCACCAGCACCACATACTGAAGAATCCTCCGAAGGTCTCAAAGACAGTTGGTTCCCAGGAAGGTTATGCCAGACCCTGGAATGCTCTTGAACATCTGAGACTTGGGAGGCAACATATACTTTCTCTGAATGGCTAGAGAAAAATTCCACCTGGAAAGACAGGCATAACCCTAACCCACTAGGGAGGACCCTCAGAGCACAAGCACATGCTAGCTGCAAGAAAACCCTGATGCTGGGTAAGCACTGAGCTAGTCTTTATCCAGGCCCTAACACTGGAAATCCAAATACTTAAACTCTCATTTTCTGAATACTGCCAGTGGAAATTTCCATGTGACTGCATGCAACAGACAAGTCACAATCAGAATACAGACACATGAGAAAAATGCATAAAATTACCTTAGGGTGTGTATATCATAAGTTGTCCAAGAAACAGATGAATGTCATGGTTACATTTGGGTCCTTTCCCCCAGGCACCTCGTTATGGATATGTACATATTCCCCAAATACAAAATACATATGCAGCCAGAAGCATTTCTGGTCCTAAGCATTTTCAACAAAAAACACTGGATCTGTACCAACAGCACCAAAGTTTAGAGCCACTGTGACTTTGAGATTGTCTAATCCAACCCATGTATTTCATAGGAGAGAAGTCAGCCATGGATCAGTGAGAGAAAATTAGCCAAGGCAAGGGATGCATCAGAAGAGACCAGATCTCACCCTTCCACCTACAGACCAAGATTCCCCCCCAAACACCAGTGGCTTCCTTCACAGGCTCTCGCAAGCACAACCACCAAATTGGTGATTTCACTCCTTACCTTTCTTCCTCCACCAGGGTCCCTCAGGAACAGAGTAGGAAAGGTCCTTGAATTCAATGTTCACAGCTGCCCTCCGAGGCAAGGAGGAAAAGCGCTGGGCCTCTGTGAAGTTGTTGTCCACCTTCTTCAGATGCCCATTTAGCAGATCTGTTTCAACATCATCCACGTTGCTGGACACGACCTCATCCACTGACACACACACCGACTTGGGCTCCGTCATGGCTGCAGAGTAGCTGCTGGCATTCTAGAAAGCAAAGCGGAGGTGGCAATAAGATGTGTTATATGCCCCATAGAGAGAAAGACCATCAAGAGACTTGCCACTGGGCTCAGGGTCATCGATTATCCATAGAGATACTTTTTAGACTTTGAGAGTACCTTTGTCCCCAGAGGAGAGAGAGGCCACCTGCAGGAATTTTCCCAGCTAACCATCACTTTTGCTTCTAGTAAAAAGACACCAAAGATGCTAACCACACCTACAGTCTTCCTTCAGAATCACAAAATCTGATCATAAGACTTTAATAAGTGACTCGCTTTCCTCTATAAAGAAGGGCTGAGCCACCATGGAAAGTCATCTCTTCCCAGTCTTCTCATAAAAACTTCAGCGAAGACACATGGGGCTCCAAACTGGAGGTACAATAGGAAACGGCTTATTTAATGTGACTTGTTGTCACATGTTCCCACGTCATCTCTTGACGTGGCCAGGGAAGCATTACTAAAGTCCTGGCTTGTGGGGGCTGGCCATATTTTACTGTCACATTTTCTAGATCCCTTGTAACTTCGCTCCATTGTTATCTTCCTAATAATATTAGAGGGTTGGAGTAGTTTGTATATGTCTCTATTACACAGGCAAGGAAACTGAGGTACAGACGACTTAAAACACAGTGTGGTGCTTCCTATATCACAAAGGCAGCCCACAGCTAGCAGGTAGGGTACATACAAGCGCTGCAGCACTATATTATAGGCAGAGCCCATAGCTTTAACTTTAAAGCCTTCCACAAGAAGTCAACTGCATGCAGCGGGTGGGCCAAGACCCAGGAGTATTTATGCAAAGCAAGGGGTTTGCTTTTCTAATGGCTTGGCAGCCCTGGCCTGATCAATAAGCTTCAGGAACCTCCAAACACAGCAGAGCCCTAAGAGGACAAGTTGTACTAAAGTGTTTCTAGCTCTCCTGGAGCTAGAGGGAACATCCAAAAGCATGGGCCTTCTGCAGGCTCAGCCAGCTGCAGATAACCTATGGGCAAGAGCTCACTCCTTACCATTTCTGGTCACCAAAGCTACTAACTACCCCAAGACTGGTAAGGCACTGCTGTTGTCCTCAGTTCGAGAGAACACACATGCCATTCTTCCTCTGTTGGCTTATTAGCTATTTCTCTAATATTGCTATTAGTTATTATTATTTCTTAAAAATAAAATACAACCATAGTGGATTATCCACAGAAAGTCTCATAAAGGAAGGGCTGGGAGGTAATGCTTGCCTAGCATGCACAAATCCCTGGGTTTCTCCTAAGTCCTCTCTAATTCTAGTACTTGGAAAGTGGAGGAAGGAGGGTTGGAAGTTCAAACTCATCCTCAGTTGCACAGTGAGTTCCAGGCCAGCTTGGCTACACAAGACCCTACACCTCAAGGAAAAACAACCCAATAACAAAAATCCCTACAAGCCCAGCAATTCAGGCCTCCCTCCCACCTACCCACCTACCCACCCATGGAGAATGTGCTCTTCTATGGAAGAGCTGGGTTTACTATCACTGTGGCATTTGGGGGTTCAGAGCCAAGTGGTAAGCTTGGGGTGGGGGTTGGATATTTAACACAAATGGGGCATGGAAGAGGTAGACCCAGTGGTTCAGAATCTCTTGGTTAAGGAAAAAGGAGCTTACATGTATGAACCACAAATACCCACCCACCTTCATGAGCATCTCAAATTCTCACCAATACTCCTGCTGACTGAATGAAAACGAAGGTACACAGGGAATTCTTGAAATCTAGCTTAGGGCAGCAGGCAAGAAGCATGGGTACTCTTTCCGGTACCAACACAAGTGGGTTCATATGTGCCCAGAACTATGCCTGTGCCAAGACCCACACAGCCCAATGGAGAGCCTTCCCACCCCCTCCTACCCCCACCCCCAGTTCCAGACAGCCTCAATGTGCACTCATCAGGTACCACCCCTGAATGGCCTCTTGGAGGGGTGGGTCACTCTGTCACAGCCAGTGGTCCTGCAGGAATGCACCCATGAAACTTGGAACCTCTCCAGCAAGCACAGGGACCTTCCCAGGACTCACCCACTGTCCTCTGTGGCTATAACTGCCATGGCAGGTTCAAAGCCCATGGAGGAGCCTGGGAGGCACCAGGTGCTGGCTTCAGGAACAGGGTGTCGCATGGAGAAACAACAAGGCAGTCAGCTGAGGCCAGGCCCTTCCCACCCCACCCTGCTGTGAAGTACCACAAGTATCAAAAGCTTGGCTCCAGCCCTAAGAGAGGTAGGTAGCCCTTCTCCATCAGGGCCCACTGATCTCTACCCCCCAGGTTCTACCTGCTGTGGGAAATCCCTCCTTCTCCCTCTCCGAAGGCCCCAACCATAGGTATCCACCCCCAAGCACACCAAGAAGGGATTGCCTCCTACCCTGTTGAAACCTGCAGGGACAAGGGGCCTCACAGCCGTCACCCCACCACTGGTTGTGGCAGATATCAGCCAGGCACCCCCAGACTCCAAACCTATCTGTGCACACATTCATTCCGTTGCAGACTGAACACCAGATAAAGCCAGTGATCTAGCCAGACACAAACATGGCCTCTGGCCCTGGCAAACTCAAGTTCAAGACTAAGGCCAGTGAAGAAAGCAACCATCACCAAAAGGATTAAGAAAGGGCCATGGAAGCTTATTAGATGCAGACCAGACCCTGGGGTGGGGGCCCAGAACAAGGTCTGTCTGCTGAAATAGTTCAGGCTGAGATTAGCAAGGTGACATGGAGGCAGGGCTTTGTGTACCATGCTCCCTGCAGGGCACCTCTGAGAACACTGAGTGTGGAATACAGAGACCTGGACCCACAGCAGAATCAGCCAGAATGTGGGTTGGGGTGCGGGAAGCAGGGTACATGGCATAGATGAGATGAGAGAGGCAAACTTTCCAATGAGATTATGAAGATCAGCGGGGACCCAGGCTCAGAAGAAGGTAGCAATCACCTGCAGAGCTAGGGATGGTAGAGCTTAATCAGCATGTGCTAACGGGGTTGGAGTTCATTACACCAGCCAGTAGACCAAGCTGGGTGACTAAACTGAGTAGCAAGGGAGGAGGCAGCAGCCAGAGTCAGCTACACAGAATATAAAGTGTTCAAGAATAAGACCATGTGCGTGCGCTTGCTAAGCAAGTGGCTGTAAACAACAGTGACTAAGATTCAGCATGCTTAGTTCACTCCAGCCTGCAGCCTGTGCTCTTAGACATTGCACAGCACCGGGGGGTGGGAGGGAGGCTACCCAACTCCAGTTTGGAAGGGGGCAGGAAAGCAGCAAGGTTACCCATCTGGCTCAGGACCCCTCAGTCAGGAGGGGTCCAGCTTCCTGAGACTTCCAAGCCTGAGCTGGCCTTCTCTCACCCAGCCATTTGAGCATTGCTCAGTGCATACAGCATAGGAGCCAGTTGAATAATCCTTTAGAGTAGACTGCACAGCAAACAGGAACTCATGCACCATCCCTGCCCTGTCCCCCTCAACAAGGACAGCAGCCCCACCCTTCCTCCACTGGTGTTCAGTGGCCTCACCCAATTAATAAAATCATGGAAACCTATGTGATGAGGCAGTGGCCTGTCACTCCAAAATAGACCAGCTCTCTGGAAACACATCCTCCGATGAGAGCTGCTAGCTAGCAATGTAGGTTACAGCGAGCCCTGCCTCAGCCTCCTGAGCTCATTAAAAATAAAACAAACACCTATTCTCTCCTGCTCTCTCCATCGGCTGGTCTGTTTCCCTGCCTTCCTGTCTGGACACTCTGCCCTCTCCTCATGGAATGTGTTTTGCTGATAGAACAGATGGTGAAAGCGGGAAGTCCATTTCTGGGGACTCTGTGCAGAGGGGACCCTGTTGGGACCACTGCTGGGAGCTGTTTAAGAGAATGCTTCCCTGGCACAGTGGTAGAGTTGTCAAGTGAGGGCTGCATGGGTGCTGGGCATCCGGAGACACAAGAGGAGTAGGGAGAAGGTCACACATAACCAGCAAGCCTCACCAACTGGGAGACCCCTTCATTGGGGGGGGCACTGAGAGACAGGAACTTCTCAGCACACTGGGGGGGCAGGTATTGTTCTCTCTCTCTCTCTCTGTGCTTCTCCATGACAAATATGATGCTCACCTAGATGGTACCTCAGCACATCCTGGACACATCAGAGGAAAACATGCTAGCCCATAGTCACAGCAATCCCTCACAGGAGTGTACAAAGCCACACCCTGAGCTAAGCTTAAAGGGCAGGTTACACTTGAGTGACCACTCACAATGCCACAAAGCTCCAGTGCTCCCTTTCCTGGGGATGCATGCCCACCTTGTGAGTCCCTGCTAGTACTCCTGGCCAACTTCCAGGGTTCTCTCCAGACTTGTAGCTCACTCAGCCAGCATCCGCAGGACCCCAGGGCAGGAGAGACTAAAACGCAAATCTTGAGGTCTTGTTATAACTAAGATAGAACATTTTTTAATGGTCTTTGTTTTGTGCCTCTAGCAGCTGGTATTACTAGATGTTGCCACCTCCTACTCCCAGCTAGGTCCCAACCAGGCTGGCCCTGCTTGGCATCCAAGATCAGACAAGATCAGTAGACCCAGAGTAGTATTATCACAGGCAGACAGACATTTTTAAATTAAAACCAAAGTGCCAGGTTTCCAGGAAGAAAATTCTTTTCAAATATATCAATAGATTTCCTGGGGAATTAAAAAAAAAAAAAAGTTCAAGCCCAAGCCCTTGTGATATCTGTTACCTTACAGTAAAGGTTCAGGCTGTATCAAACCATAATGTTACAAATCAGCATAAAAACGTGTACCCTACAGCATTCTGGCTCATTGATTCACACATTCTAGCCAGTTCTAAAAGACGGCATGTCCCGCGCAGAGAGAACCCACCAAACTCCCTCTATTTGCAATGATCACTAATTATCTTTAATATTCAGTTGCCAGAATAATCCTCACATTGATAGATAAGTGTGCAAGGGAAAAATTTTTAGTGTTACCCAAGCAATCAACTAGATAAAAGCGAGTATCTTGAGGAGAAGTGATTCCTGTTTTCATTGGCTCTGACATGTTGGAACCAGAGCTTAATCCAAGGACGGGAATCAGTTTGGGGGTCTTCCTGCCCGCTTCATCCCACCCCCTGCTAACCACCACTCCAGTGCATCTTCACTCCCCTCTGCCGGTTTACACAAAATCATTACATAATGAGTTCGCGGGCTGGGCTCAGGGCGAGTTCTACAGTAACCTGTTTGGAATCATAGGATGCAGTTGTCAGAGCAGAGCATGCGCACAAGGTCTAGTGCTTTTTTTTTCCCCTCTAGAGCTCAAGGCAAGAGGTAACTGTCGGTCAAATCCTACTGAGCCTTGCTGACTTCAAATACAGGATGCTAAAAATGAAATAAAGGGGAGGAACTGTGCAGTGTGGGCTTCCAGCGTATGGGAAGGAGCAGGCAGGCTAGTAACAGAGCTAGGAGGCAGAGAAAGGAACGATCCGGGTGGGAATACGGAGGACTTGCTGTTTGTACACTACACAGTCTGAAATTAGTTTAAGAGGATATTATCCGCAATGTCCGCGTCTTAGGCGGAGCCGGCGGGGCCAAGTGTGAGACCAGACGGGCGGTGGGCTGTGGTTTTGTTGTATGTTCGCTTTTTCCCCCCAGGTGCATTGAGGGACCGCGTAAGAGGAGACGCTTGTCCACCTCTGGGAACAGAGCTTGTCTAGCAATTAATTAAGTAGCGCCCGGTTTTTGCCCTAGGACTGGTACCTGGGGTGGGGGAGTAAATGCCCACACCCGGTCCTCACCCCTGCAGGGATCTGGGCTCACCCTCCTCAGTTTCCCCTGGGACCCTGCCACCTCCTCTGAGAGTTGCTGTCCCTGGGGAGCGCAGGAGAACTGGCTCCGTTTCGTGGGCTACAGCTCCTCTTTTTGTCCCCCACTATGTCCAGCGCTCCGGAGGATGGCGCAAGAAGTCCCCGCCGCCCGCCTGCCCCGCAGAATTCCCCAGGGAGACCTGACCCTCCCTTTCTTCGGGCTGGGCCTGCAGTTCCCAGTGCGCTCCCATGTCCCGAGCCCCTCACCCAAAGACGACGAGTCAAGGCCATCTGTCCACTTGCGAGGCTGCCAGCTGCCCCGCGCCCCACTCCGGGTCGCTACATCTTCTCGGCGCCTTAAGTCAGCGCAAAAGCACCCTGAGGCTCCAGGTGGCTGGGGCGGAGGCGAGCGGAGCGGGGCACCTCTCCAGGCAGCCCCAGGTCAGCACTCAGAGGACGCACTCCTAGGCGGCTGGTGTGAGGACCAGTGTGCCGGGCTTTGTGCTTCCTGTTTCCCTAGAAGATAAAATACAGCCCCGAGTGCAAAGGATGAGCGACTCACCATGGCGGTGCCGACCGAGAAAGCGGCCATCAGACAGGCCATGCCCCGGGGGCGGCGGCGACGGTGGCAGCGGTGGGGAGGAGGCTGCGGGCGGCGGGGACGAGGCTGCAGGAACGAGGCTGCGTTTGCTCCAGCTCCACCGCGGAGCTCTGCGCGGGTTCCGACTGCGCCCCGGCCCCGCCTCGGTCCATGATTGGCCTGCGCGGAGGGGGCGGGGCGCCGACAGGTGCGCGTGCTCTTGTTTTGCTCCTGTGGTAGAGTGGCTCGAGGATGCCATGTACTGAGAGCCATATGCTAGGCCTCAAGCTGGGCCCTTCCACCTGCTACTACCTGGGCCTGGCAACCCTAGTGCAAGGACCCCCCAGGGCTGGGCCAACGCAACTCTAGTGCGTTGGGGGCACCATGCAAACTATGGGGTTCCTGTTTAGGAAACCTCCTGGAGTAGCTTGAGGAGCAGAGGGGAAGAAGGCAGGTCGCTCTCTCTCGCTCTCTCTCGCTCTCTCGCTCATGCTCTCTCTCCTTTCTCTCCTCTCTCTCCTCTCTCTCTCTCTGCTGTGAATCTGTCTTCCAGGTGGATGCCCCAAGAACAAAAGAAGGGGAGAAGACTGCTGCAGGGTCCACCCCACAGCTTCAGTGTGGGGTAACCCTTATCGAGCAGCATGGGCTTGATACAGGTAGTACCTAGGCCTCCATCAGCACCACTCCATTTCTAAAGAAGCCACAGGGGTATTTCCTGTGCCTTACACAGCCAGTTCTTGTACCCAGAATCTACTGAAGCCCACCAATGACCATGGTGGCATTCTTTAATCCCAACCGCAGATGCTAAGCTAAGGCTTCTGTTGAAGCAATTTTTTTGTCACCCCCAGCACAACAGAGCCACCTGCTCCAACATTCTGGTGTGCCAGATACTTTCTGCTCTCCTAGAAGGGGGCTGGCAAATGGGTATCACTCTACCAGAACCTGGACCTTGGCCAAAGTTTTCCCTGGAGTTACAGAAAGGAAAGTGGGTGTGGCTGAGTTTGGAGGGAAGAGGGTGAACTTGGGCATTCCACACGAGGGGATGTTGCCCTTATCAAGAAGGCTGACAAAGCCAAGGCTTTCTGGGAAAGTTACGAATACAAACCTCCCAGGGGATGAGAAAGGCTTCTGGGGCCTGGGACTGCTGTCTGCCCTGGTGTCCACTGCTCCAGAGGCATCCCTGATGGACAAGAGGAGACTCAAACAATGTGACCAGCATGCCTATTTCCACAGATATCTACACTCTGCCTAGTATCTACTCTCCCTATTTCCAGAAAGTCTGTCCAGAATTTTCTTCTGGAAATTTTCTTTCTCAAGCCCTCTTTACTCAACCCTGCACCCCTCCCCCACATTTCTATGCCCTCTGATTCATGTATGGTTGGTCAACCTTCAATACAAACATGGGACACAATTAGCTTCCCTCATAATTAGCCTGAAGGCAGCCTGGCACAGAAGATGGTCAGGTGCTGGAGAAGGGAGGAGTGCTTTGCGGGCTGCTGAGAGTGAGCAGGAGTCAGTGTGGGGCCTGAGGAGGAAGCTGGAGAGGGCAGGCAGGCACCCATGCATGAGGGCCTCGTTGATATGGCCTGGGTCACTGTGACGGTTCCCACGTGTGTGCATGGGGTAGTGATCCTCCGAATCGTGGTGAAGCCAAGTGATGGGTGCTTTCTACCTACAAGCAAGCATCCATCCCCACTGTTTACTGATGGCATCCCACTCATACTCAGATGTGGAGTAAGTGAGTGGTGGAGTTGGACAGACTTGTCTTGTAAGTGACAGAAAGCCAGTTTTGACTGGCGGATGCATTGATTTCTGAGAAGGTTCAGGGACACTGGTTTCAGGTCTGATGCGGCCAAGGACATGCACACACACGCGCACACACACACGCACACACACACACACACACACACCCCTACCTCACTTTCTCCATAGCTTTACTTTCACGTGATGGCTTTTCTCGGGAAATGTTACCTTCTTCCAGCTCCCCATCCTACCAGCTGCACCCAGTCATTATGCCCAATAGTGCCTACTCTTGATGGGCCCTCCTGCATCACATGGAAGGAAAAATCAGGTAGCCAAGTGCTGAGGCACCACAGGAGACACTGCAACCTCATATGCAAGGACGCAGGGTTTGCTTACAACCCCCCTTCCTGTGTTCTCCAAACCATCGATGACTCACTTCTAACATGATGCAATCACATCTAGTAAGAAGTGAGTGTAATTTAATGCTGGTGGTACTTGGAGGAATCCTTCTTAAACTGTGGGTCCCTACTCCACCTGGAGCTGCATGACTGAATGTGTGGGTCACGGAGAAGTTGGCAAAAGTTAACTGGAAATCAAAAACATAATAAACCCAAGGTGTGTCTGTCAACACTCACCTATGTTGCGCCACAGATGTCACTGCAGCTTTGTTCCTTCGCATACAACACTCACTTAGCCCTACAAAAACCATCATACTACCCAACACTGCCTGAAACACATTACTTCAGATTTCAGAAGACCATACAATGAGTCTTTACCATGCATACAAAGTCGTGGGCTCTCTTGGAAGTGTAATGGTTTAATTATGGAAAACAACGTCTCTTAATATTTTCCTGCCATCGTTTCTCAGGAAGTGTGGTGGTTAGTTTTGTCACCTGGACACAAATCTCGAATCAACTGGGAAGAGGGTCTCTAGGAGGGATTGTCTAGTTCAGGCTGGCCTGTAGTTATGCCTGTTGGGAGCTGTCTTGATTGCACTAATTGATGTGGGAAAACCTAGCCTACTGTGGGAGATGCCATTCCCTAGGTTTGGTTCCTGAATTGATAGGGATAGAGAGAGCCAGCCAAGTACTAAAAGCATTCATGCATTATGCATTCAATCTGCTCAGCTCTTCACTGGGGATGTGATGGGGCTAGCTGATTTAAGCTCCTGCTGCCTTGGCTTTTCTGCTATGGAAAAATGTAACCTGGTATTGTGAGCTTACATAGACCTCTTTCCGTTTGAGTTGTGTTTTGTTTTTATAATGTTGGGAACTGAAATCTGGGTCTCGTGAATGTTACACAAAGAGTTCTACCACTGAGATGCACCTCAGCATTCCTCGAGTCAGTTCTTGTCAGGGTATTTTTTTTTTTTGTCACTGTCACAGAAATGAGACTAGGACAATATGGAGATATCAAATCCATACACCTTAGGAGTGGGTTAAGTTAGAAGCACATTTCTCTCATTTGTACCCAAATTTGCTTAATAGATAGTAAGATGATATATGTAATGAATTGTTTTAAAATAAAGTTGTCATTTGTTACCCATAACTGTTGGATTTATATACCTATTTTTATAGAATTATATACCTACAGTCATGTAAAACTGTCTCAGCTGAAGAAGGGGCATGAGAGGAAAAAATTTAAGAAGCTTATTTTAAACAATAGTGTATGGACTGCTCTCAGTCACAAGGCTATGTGGTTGGTTGCCTCCTGTCTGGCACCACAAGCCCCAGTGAGGCAATCAAGCTATGAACCATCTGTCCAGGCCTCTGTGCCTCAGCCCAGTGTCCACATGCCCAGTTCTTCAGCAAGGCTTGGCAGGACACACCTTCTGCCCCTCCTTCTCTGAATATGTGCCAGTTTCTCAGCATCCTTTGTGAAGTGCTGGGTCTACTATGGAATGCTATTCAGTGTGGTCTGACCAAGACAGGCAGAGTAGCCAGGAAAGCCCATGCTCAAATCTAGATGCCTTATTCTGCTAACACAGAACAATCTAGGTTGATGGTGTGGGCAGCTGCAGCAGCCAGGTGGCCTTGAGTGATGTCCTGCCAGCCAGGGCCAGGTCCCAGAGCTGAGAATTGCTGCTTTTACTCTCCTCTGTGGCTGACATGTGTTGGACTTGGTTTTCATAGCCTGAGTTCAGGCTTCACACTTATGTCAAACAAACATGTCCCTACATCTCACACAATCTCCATACCCAGGCTCCACGATGGCTCCTGTATGATAATGACCATATTGTCATCACAAGCCAAAAGCTGCATCCATGGCCACTGAGTTGACACCTGTGGTATTCATAGTTCAGCTGAGCCTCTGTCACTTGACTGCAGTCACTGTCCTTCACATCTTGTCTCCCACTGGTCTGGTGTGTACTTCACACTACAGGTCTCACACTAAAGAACATAGTTTCTCCATGATGGACAGGCAGCTGCTGAGTGATCTGAGAGTGGGGGAAGGGGGCTCTGAGGATGCAGTCTCTGGTTAGAACTCTACAGTTAGTATATGGTATATATGTGTCCAATCAAGACAGGCACCTAGGATCCTCACAGGGCTGTGGCTTCCCTGCTGAGCATCTGCAGGTAGTTGGGCAAGCAGAAAGATCTCAGGGACAACTATTTCACGAATTCTCTTGTCTGCCCCTAACCAGCCAAGGAGGGCTCAGATGAGTTATTTCCCATGACTGTAGCCTTCTTTGCAGTTGGGTGATTAGTTGACTTTGCAGGGGATGAGGCATGCTGCCCTGGATGGATAGGAGAGAACTCCCATGGCTCATTTTTCCTCCATTGGCTATAGAGCTGTCAATCGGTGGTTCACTTTCCTCTGTTGGCTATAGAGCTGTATAACTATGAACAACTCTTCCTGACTAAGCTTCTGGATCCTTCCAGGAACCTAGTACTCTAGGGGCATCTTATCTCTCTCTCTCTCTCTCTCTCTCTCTCTCTCTCTCTCTCTCTCTCTCTGTGTGTGTGTGTGTGTGTGTGTGTGTGTGTGTGTGTGTGTTTCAGCCAGAAGCAAGCTGAGGATGTGGGTCCCTCATTTCTGGCATCCCCATTCTTTCAAGTCAACCTTCCAGGTATCCATCCTGGGGACTTGATCTCTGGGGCTATCTCCTGCAAGCAGCCTCATCCCTATGTAAGATTCTTGTGATCTGTGATTGCATAGCATACTTTGAATCAAATGTACTGGTCATCCTTCCTGGATGTAAGCCTCAAGGTGCAGGCACATTTATCAAGAGCCAGGTTCCCACCACAAGACAATGCCAGCCTGGGGAAGGATTCTGCCTGGGCTAGTGTGTGAATCAACCTTGTACCCCTAGACTCTCTGATTCCTTCACTAGTGTGAACTCTGCTAGTTAGGA